TTCGATTATACCACTGATAGTGTTCAACTTGCCAATGATTTAGGCCTTCCTAAATTGACTATTCGCCGCCTCTACTTTCGTCTAGTCAACTACTATCGTATTTTCGATTGTTTATGCACTTTAGATCTTGACGAGCTCATTACGCAAACACCAGTCAGTACTTGAGTTTATTCTAATCTGTTATCTACATATGTGCTATTTCTATCAGGTGTATGTCTACTACAACTCTTTTGTTGTTGTTGTTACAAGCCCTTTGATCAAAAAGATCAAAGGTGTTCAGAAAAGACCTTTATCACGGTTCATTTTTGCATCATTCACAAACTTCTGTCACCTATATTCTGCTATACATAGTTAGAGAAATCCACGTGTTAGAATCGTATTCTAGAAGTCTCTATATTTTAATATATGAATAGAAGCATCATATTTTTGTTGTCGTAAGTTTTATAATTCATATATTACAAATGAGTCTGTTTATTATTTTGACTCTTTGTTGATCGATTCAGTCTTGGACTGTGTATCGAACATAACACAAACAAAGAAGTACATATGATATAATATGAGTGTGGTTGAGGACATAAAAAAATTGATGTGTTGAGTAGATAACAGTTCTGACGGGTAATCAGTGAAAGATATTCAAACGGAATTTCTTTTTCTCATTGTATATTGCAGAACAATCTGGAAATAACAGGACATGCAGAATGAATTATCATAGGATACACGCCTGTGAATATAATACAGTATAAATATGAGACGAATCTCACAGTATTACTATTATTCTTCATTATCACTACATTTGCATTTACACTATCATCGTCCTGTCATGTCGTCCTTAATGGTTAATTTGATTATGTTGTTTTATTCTTTGTCTGGTTCGACTATAGCTGATTTAGTTTGTCCGTCATTAGGCAGTGCCGCCCCATTTGCAGTGATTGCTGGTAGCAAGGTAAGTAATGCTGGTCTGTCATACATTACCGGCAATTTGGCTATGAGTCCAAGTATTGCTCTAACGGGTTTTAGCATTATTCCGGGTATTGTTGGTTATATTTATGGGAAAAACGAACTTGGCACTCCAACTGCTTTACAAGCACAAAAGGATGTAACAATAGCTTTTAACGAGTGCGCTAACGCTCCAGTGACCAAACAAATGACTGGTATGGAAATGGCTGGCCTGACATTATCGCCTGGTGTTTATAAGTGGGACGCGGCAGCTTCGTTAAGTTTACCACTGGGCATTTTGACACTAAATGGTTCCGGTGTATACATCTTTCAAATTGGTAGTGCCTTATCAACATCATTTGGTAGTCGAATTATTTTAATCAATGGTGCCACTCCTGGTTGTGTCTTCTGGCAAGTCGGCAGTAGTGCAACACTTGGTTCCCAGAGTGAATTCTCTGGTATTATAATCGCCTATGCATCAGTCGTATTTTCGGGCGGTATCCATTTATTTGGATCGGTCTTTGTACTAAA